AGTTTGACCAAAGTTACGTAACAAGATACTCCTTTCGTCCAAAAATAAGTGATGTTTTGGGTTTTCGTGCCACAAGTTTGACTCGATTTATAGAAAATACATGCAATATTTATATCTTCATATAAATTTGTTAAAAAACTAGACAGAAAGATCTTTTCGATGATACTAATTACTTTAGCATAAATATTTATATATTTTAATATATAATTGCCGACTGTTGTTTCTCAGGAAGCGACAACGACACTTATTTTGGGACGAAAGGAGTAAACGCATTTATGATTCTAACTAAGTATCATTTGATTCTTCATCAATTATATTTTTATAGGATACCTATGTCATAAATCTTTGTATTTCTCTCAATATTTTTTATCAAACTTAAAATACTTGAAATTTCCAATTATTTTCTTGCGAAACGAGGGGAGGGAGGATGAGTGAGGCGGGCGCATCATGCCCATCGGTAGACTAGGACGACGGCGGTCGGGCCGGCACGCCAGCGACACAGCGTCCCCCTTCCCCTGCTACCGCGACGAGAGGGGAGGGTGGGGACCAGGGAGAGGAGCCGCTCGAGTGGGGCTCCATTGATGACAAAGAGGGCAATTTAATTTATTGCCACTCTTACGGTTGCCACTCCTCCAATTGCCAGCGTTAAAAGTGCTCCTACATATTTGCCACTGCATGCAATTCGCCTCCTACGGATTTGCCATTTTCGCCAACGTGTCGTGCCAGATGGACTCGCCAGCGTGGAAGGCAGCCTGGGAGGCCTGTTTGGGCCTGGCAAATGACCTTCCTGCCCCTCGCCCTTTTCTTTTGTTCCCAGGCTGGTCCCGGTTGGGTCAGAGGCACCCCACAACACTCTCGCAGCTTCTCTCACCCCCACTCCTCCTGTGTACTACTGATGGAACATGTATATGGAACATGGTGAAAAATACATGCTGAAACATGGTGCATATATGCTGAAAAATGCAAGCTTAAACTGCCACAAATTACCATAACAACATACATAACTGATCCAACAACATGCATAGATTCATACATAAAAGGTCCACGGTCATTGACATTAGTTCTTACAGCAGTGGCACATGACAACCATTAGTGGTACATGGCCATACAAAATAGGTCCTTGATCCATGACTGAATAGTTTCGTTAAAGTAGTGGCACATGATAGCCATTAGTTATACATGTCCATACATAACAGGTCCATCCAGAAAAGAACACGCATGCAAAATATTCAACACAGAAGCCTTAGTTGGCAGCCTTTGTTGGTGTGGATTTCTTCACCTTGGATGCTAGTTGTTTCTTCCTTGGTGTCATTTTCTTTGGAGCAGCTGCTGGTACTATCTCCAATCCCACCGGTTTCTCCAAGTCCAACCTCCTACATTGAACAAATAGTTAGATTTGTATTTATGGTTTTTTTGTCAAGTCAATGGTGGCAACAAACCTCTGGCATGGTGGGGCTGCCTCCATTGATGCTGCTACTGGGACAAGAGCCAAACATGGCGGCTGTGCTATTGCCTCTCTTGCTGCTCCTTATGCTTCTGCCGCCGCCTTTGCCTCCCTTGCTGCTGCCCTCTTGGCTCTTGGTGTTTCCTCTCCCACTACTACTTCATTCCTGGCTGCTGCCCTCTTGGCTCTTGGTGTTTCCTCTCCCACTTCTGCTGAATCTTCAATAGTTTTTTTGCTTCTTCCTTCCAGGCTTTGTTGCTGTCTTCTTGGTCCTCTTCCTGTACACAAATATTTGTGAAAGTTAGTAATTAAGTGTGACAAGAAACAAAGGAAGTGAAAATATAATATACCTTTTCTTGGTCTCTGTGAGGCTACACCTCCAGCTAGTTGCTCTATGGCCAAGTTCACCGTAGCCCTTACATGTCACTTGTCTTGTTGGTTTGCCTGACCTCTCCAAACAGCTTAGGGTTCTATTCTTCTTGGTCCTGCACAAGTATGAGTATTCTTGTTTATTTTTATCTGCAAACCGCAACCCTTACATGTCACTTACTCTTGATCTAGAAGCACAAGTATGAGTATTCTTGTTTATTTGTATCTGCAAAAGAACAATGACAAATGTCACATATAAAACAATGACAGAGATGTTTATTAAAAAACAATGGCAAATTCGTATTATACCCTGACACTGCCATCAATCTGAGTTTTTGCTCTAATAATCCATTGGCATCCTCCAGATCTGCAGAAACCCCTAAATCTCTTTTTGTCTGATTTTTCAGTGCCCAACTCAAACTCTTTAACTATAGAATGTTGTTTCACTGCCATTCTAAATTCAGGCATTGATGGATAGATTTGGCCTACAGACATATCAGGATTATCTCTATCATAGTAGAAATACAAAGGCTCAAACTCAGCATTATCATCAACAAGCATAGCTGCTGCATCCATCTCTGCTTGCAACTCAGGAGGAATGACTGGCACAGGTATCTCGGCTGGACCATCACCACCATCTACAAGATCATCTGCAGCTTTGAAGCCCATGGCTTCATATATTTTGTCCTCATCTACTAAGACAGTGGCATCCCCATCTAATTCTCCCTCTTGTAATATAATGTAAGCTGACCAATCAATTCCACGATCATCTAAGTTAGTATGGTCTGGACTGCTACAAGCATCATCAGTGCATTCAACATTAGCCTGAGCATTAGCTTGCTCTGCTGTTACACCGGATGTGGAATGAACACTATGCTCATTTGGCACATTTGCCTTTCCTGCATCCCATCCAGGCTGTCTGGATGATTCCTTGTCCCTGTCAAGCACCTCACAGTTCACATCCATTTCCTTCTCATTCCATCTGGCCTCTATCATCTCCATGAACTGCTCATCAGTAGTAACCTTCCACTCTGTCCCACTGTCTTTGTCCACACCTCAAACAAGTAACTGCTGATCCCTACCCCAAATGATGCTTGTCCTCATTTCTTCCACAAACTTAGACAGGGGGCACTGGGTGCTAAGATCAAACCACACATCATGCTCTTGATGAACCATTTCCACACTATCATCATAATCACCAGTGGCTGTGTATTTATCAACACAAACATGGATTCTAAAAGCATTTCTAGGATCAATCCTGGATAGAACCATAAGCACATTAAAAAAATATAGAAGAAATGACTGTTGGATCCCAAAATCTACAGCACATGCAAGCTCGAACTTACCAAGGAGGGCAGCCAGTCCCCTTCATCTTAATGCATACGAATCAACAATAACCGTAGTGTGACTACATTGGATGTAACAAAAATAAGATTGAAACCCTAGGTTCAGCAGATTTGGGCGAAATGGTGTTCAGGGGAGTACGATTCGTACCTACTGCTTGTCGTGCGTCGAAGAATGGGGACAGTACGTCGGCTGTGGCTGGGGAAGTGGCCGCCGCCGTGCCCCCTTCCTGGTCGCCGCCGCTGACTTGACCGCCGCCACTGCCTTGACCGCCGCCGCAGCCAGAAGAAAAATGGGGGAGAGGAGGATGGAGGCAGGAGCCGGAGTGGGGGTGGCGACCCGGCCCGAGGCCGGCTTGGCTACGCCGACGGGGAGGTCGCCGGCGCCTCCTGCTTGTCTGCCGCCGCCGCCATGAGGTTCAGGGAGAGGGCGCTGCGTGAGTTGGAGTAGAGTCGGTGGCTTCTCGGTCCGGGATCGGTCCTTTGCCTGGCCTAGAAAAGAACGTGAGGTGGAGGAGGGGCAGTATGATCATTTGCCACGCCCAAATAGGGTTCCCAGGCTGCCTTCCACGCTGGCGAGTCCATCTGGCACGGCACGTCGACGAAAATGACAAATTCATAGGAGGCGAATTGCATGCAGTGGCAAATATATTGGAGCACTTTTAACGCTGGCAACTGAAGGAGTGGCAACCGTAAGAGTAGCAATAAATTAAATTGCCGTGACAAAGACGGAGATTATGGCCAGCCAGATCTCCACGGCAAGCAAGCTTGAAGACCTAGATCTGAGATTGTCAGCTGGCCGGCTAGGGGGAGGGCGGCTGCTCCTCATTGAGGCCGAGGCCAGCGTGCAGGAGAGTGCCAGGGGAACCACTACTGCACCTGGCGCCACCACCGCCCCTGGCGCTGCCTCTACTTTGGACTGCAAGGTCGACGACATCGGCCACCTTCAACACGATGGTCCGGATTCAGTTGCTGCCCCGGAATCATCAATCTGGCAAGGCTACGCTGCTCCGAGCTATCTGGCTCCCCTGCCTACGCCCTCTGTGGCTCAGGTCGTGGGTGGGGAAGCCCCCATCCCCAGCTCGATTCATGGCCCTGCCTAGACCCTGCGGTCTCTCTGGGGTCGCCGGTGGAGGACGCCATTAATGGCTCTCCGTAGCCCCCTTCGGTACGGGCGGCGGAACGAGTCCTGGAATCCGGGCACGCGGTGGCGAAAACGACGGACTGCGTCGGGGGCAGCGGCATGAACGCACCTGCCAAGCCGGCGTCGGAGGAGGACGAACGCGACAGCGACAAGACCAAGGTACCTGCCCATCTTTCACGATCTCGGTACGTTGCCTCTGAGCTATACCATCCTGATGCGCCAAACATTCCAATTCGGGCATCGGGAGAGAGATCACCGGAGCTACTATGAGGCTGCACGCTCGCGCCCCCCACCTGCTCGACTTAATGGCCATCAGCGCTTTCAACACAACAAGCGAAAGCCTCAATGGAGACCGCTCAGGCTGACCGGGAAAGCGGGGCCGCCGGCGGGCTATAAATCCAACCTTACTGGCCGCTGCTTTAGATGCCTCGCCAAAGACCACAAGATTGCGCAGTGCCGTGACCCCCTCCGGTGCCTTGCTTGCCACTGCGTTGGCCACAGAGCTAGAGAGTGCCCAACGAAGCGTGAGCGCGCCCTTCGCCCTCTGCATCAGCCAAAGCTAGGCGTCACCCGACCTCCCACAAACTCTCGCCTACCAAAGCCGGCAATCCCACCCATCCACAGCCGCATCGTCTTCCCTTCCCTGCAGAAGATAGGAGAGGCACCGGCTCAGGAGCATCACGCGGCCGTAGAGGGAAAGATGTGGTACCCGGCGATGCCGGAAAACCGGCCCACTACCGGCAATGCGGTGGTGATTCAGTCCACCACCACGGTGGACGAGATCACCCGGTTCCTGACCAGGGCGGTCCTGCTGGTGGCGCGGGACCGGCCAGTGCACGACGACATCGACACTGGGGACATCACCAGGGTCCTGGCGGCAAGCGCCCGTGTCCCGCTGCACGAAATGCGCACCACACGCCACCAGCCTGAAGACTTCCTCATCATCTTCGAGCACCCTTGCCAGCGCACCAGGGCTCTGATGACTGGCGGCATCCGCGTCAAGGGAGTCTCCTTCAATATCATCCCCTGGACGGAGCACAAGCATGGCCGGAAAGTTACTTGGTGGTACCATGTTTGCATGGCCATCGAGAATCTCCCCCGCGATGTTTGGAACTTGGACGTGGTCCAAAGCTTGCTGGGAGAGGTCTGTGTTTTCGACAAGATAGATAGGGCCAGCTTCCGCCAGCACTCGTCGGAGATACTATACTGCTGGGCCTGGATGTGGTACCCAGACCTCCTCCCGTGAGCCAAGACCGCCACCTTCTTCGACCATGGCGCCGGCCAATCATGCGCTGTGGCACCTGCGGGCCAGAGGCCCAGGGAGGTTGCACCGCCGCCAAAGGGCCACTCCTACGACCTCATCATCCACCTAGACATCCTGGAGGACTAGAGTCCGCAAGGACACGCACCCCAAGCACGGCACAGAGTGGGGCTCCGTCCTCTGTCTCATCGGAGGAGGAGTACCCTAGGATCCTAAACTTCGACGACTGGAAGCCGAGCGTGCTCGACGGCTACCGCGCGCCGCCGCCGGCCAGCGCCTGCCGCCCACCGCCAAGGGCCGCTCCGAGGAACGATGAAGATGACGGCGACGATGAGGGCGGCTCGCGGCGTTCGCCAAGGGGCTTCCGCAACCACGGTGCGCACGAGATCAGCCTCCTCCACCGCTTTGGTGGGGGCAATGATGGTGAGGGCACCAGCAGGAGACGCACCTGCTCCCCTCCGGGCACCAGGCGCTGGACCGCGGGTGCACACGACGACGGCTCAAGTGAGGACGACAGGGGCAGGCATGTGATGCGAGGCGGTCATCACTCCCCGCGCGGCCGCGAGCCATCACGTCAGGAGTTCACGGACTGGGAGCGCCGGAGCTCGCGCTCACCCACACCACGGAGCGGGCCCAGAAGCGTTGATGCTGCTATGGGTGGTTCGCCCAGCACCAACAACATCCTGGCTGGCGGGCCACCTGGCGCGAACGGGTCTGATGTCTGCGGGTCTGACGCCGCGGCTTTGGCGTCACCGGTCCTGAGCACAAGGCGACCTTGGCTCGATCCTCCTCTCTAGGGAGCTGCAGGCGGCTCATGATGCACCACCGCCGCCGCCACGCCACCCCGACCCAATGTTGGATTTCTACAAGGACACCTGTACCGGCGACATCTGGTCCGATTCCTTCCGGGCCTATGGGGACTATGACCCCATGATTGCAGAGGCGTGGACGGCTTGTGCGAAGGCGACAACCCGTGCCCTGACCTTCCCACCTCCAGCATGCCCGATCGTGCCAGAGCTGCACGATCCAGTGTATGCGGACTGGGATAGGACCGTAGAGCTCAACGACGAGGCCAGTGCCCTGGGGCTTGGCAATGTGATTCACTTTGGCCCTGGGGTGCAGCAGATGGTTGATGGTGAGGTGGTCACCACGGGCATTACGGAGCAGGTCACCGGGATGATACTTGAGGAGCGCAGGGACACCATTGTGGAGAGCATGTTCATGCCATGCGAACAGCCGGTACTGGACACGCCCAAGATGAAGAAGATGAGCAGCAAGAGGCAGGCAAAGGCAGGGGCAACGAAATCTATTGTTGGCGGGCTGAGGAGGAGCACCAGGCAGATGGCGCAGGAGAGTTCGGTATCCGTCGCCAAGAGGGCCACCCACCGTCTAATCAAGGCCTTTGGACTCGTCGGCCCTGGCGAGCCCATTGGCGCGGAGGCGCTGGACACGTTCGCCAAGGCTTTTGGCCAGCCACTGACACCGGACCAGGTGGCGACGGTCAGGAAGCTAACCTCTCTGGACAATGCAGCAGCACTCCCAGCAACAGCTCAACTGGTAGCAGCAGAAGGCTCTGAGGCAATTGGGGAGTGATTCAGACGGACCTATTCTCTGTAGTTGCTGATCAGGAAGTTGTCATGTTAGGTTCCTATCCATGTATCAGGTTTAGGGTCTGCGCAATGATTAGCATGATGCAGCCCTATGTGGTGTCTTGTGTTGTTGGTGTGGCAGTTGCCTGGAGGGTTCATGTGGAGTTTGCTAATGAGGTTCGATCTGGTAGTGGCAGTAGGATGTGGTGGTTTGTTTGTCAAGATGGCTGTAAGTCATTCAATAATTAGGCCGACAGTGTTTGTAATGTGTGCATAATCAGATTTGCAGTAGCCCATGTGTTCGTTTATGGATAGAAACGACCTTCTCATTTTCAACTGGAATGTTCGAGGGCTGAATGACGCTGCTCACAGAGAAAGTCAGAGAGGCTATTGCAAGTGCAAGGCCAAACATCATCTGCCTACAAGAAACAAAAATCAATAATATCACTGATGCTTTAGTAATAGAGACAGTGGGACAACAAGCTGACTCCTACTTGCAACTAGGGGCCCAAGGCACAAGAGGTGGTCTGCTGTTGGCATGGAACAAAGATCTTATATCTATTACAAATGCAGTAATCAGGAATTTCACTATCTCGGCTTCAGTTCAGATCACATCCAGCAGTACCCCTTTCCTTCTAACCACCTGCTATGGACCGGTGGACGAGGCCAAAAAAGATGAGGTCTTGGCTGAGCTACAGGAAATCCGGCCATCAGTTACACAGCCGTGGCTGGTTATTGGGGATTTCAACCTAATCCACCAGGCAAGTGACAAATATAACCTCAATCTCAATAGGAGGATGATGGGTAAATTCAGAAGAATACTTGACAATTGTGAACTGATGGAGTTAGCACTGCAAAACAGAAAGTTCACATGGTCTAATGAGAGGGTAAGCCCCACCATGGTCAGATTGGATAGGGCTTTCTGTTCTACAGAGTGGGAAACTGCTTTCCCCAACTTTACCCTGAGTGCACTGTCAACTGGAGCATCTGATCACTGTCCGCTAATTCTTAGTCGCCAAGACCGTGTACCAAGAAAGGCGGTCTTCTGATTTGAGAACCACTGGATAAATGTGCAAGGTTTCAAGGAGGTCGTGCAGTCGGCCTGGAACAAGCCTCAGAATAGTTCAGCGCTCTCGATGCTCTATAGGAAGCTGCAAGAAACCGCCAGAGCGCTCCGGGACTGGAGTAAACCTCTGTTCAGCAATGCAAGGCTGCAGCTGCACATGGCAAATGAAATCATCTTCAGACTTGACATTGCCCAAGAGAGCCGCCCTCTGTCAGCCGACGAAGTGCAATTGAGGCATGACCTAAAGATCAGATTGCTAGGCCTAGCGGCGTTGGAAAGAAACAGGAGAAGACAGGCCTCTAGAGTAAACCACATTAGAGCAGGAGATGCATGCACAGATTTTTTCACCTAAGAATGGCTACTAGACGCCGTAGACAGTACATTCCATCAATCAGGAAACATGATGGCACTTATGTCTGGACCCATGATGAGAAGCAGGCAGTACTTCAGGAGTACTTTGAGAACCTCATGGGGAAAAAAGAACACAGAACGAGATCCATGCAGTGGTCAGCACTACATATCAGTGAGCTTCAGCAGGTGCCTGGACTTGAACTTGACAGGCTGTTCAGCGAGCAAGAGATAGAGCAGGCGGTACACAATCTTCCCAAAGGAAAGGCCCCAGGCCCAGACGGTTTCACCAATGATTTCTATGGGAGCTGCTGGGAAATAATCAAGACTGACTTGGTCAATGCCTTCAACGCCTTCTATATACACCACAATGGATCGCTAGAAAGCCTCAACCATGGACAGGTGGTGCTTCTGCCCAAGGTCCAAGTAGCCACAGAACCGAAAGATTTTAGACCAATCAGTCTGATCCACTCCTTTGCCAAATTGCTCACAAAAGTCCTGGCGACCAGACTAGCTATGTACATTGACAAACTGATCTCCCCAGCCCAAAGTGCGTTTATCCGAAAGCGGTGCATCTAGGAGAACTACATGTACGTCAGAGGTCTTGCTAGATACTACCACAGATCAAAGACTCCGGCTTGCCTCATCAAACTGGACATAACAAAAGCTTTCGACTCAGTGTCCTAGGAATACATGTTTGAGCTGCTGGTCAGACGGGGATTCCCTGCAAGATGGAATGACTCGCTAGCGGCGATTCTCCGCACTTCCTCATCAACCATAATGCTAAATGGCTGCCCAGGCACTCACATCGCGCACCGCAGAGGTCTCAGGCAAGGGGACCCCCTCTCCCCCCACCCCTTCATATTGGCCATTGACGTCCTCAACAATATTTTCGAGAAAGCAACCGAAATTGGAGCGCTATCAAAACTCAAAGGCAGACAAGCAAGACTTAGGCTATCAATGTATGCAGATGATGCAGTTATCTTCACCAACCCAATCAGAGAAGACATCAAGTGTATGATGGACATAATGACGGCCTTTGGCGAGGCCACTGGTCTTAAGATTAACGTGCAAAAGAGCATAGTGGCGCCAATCCAGTGCGCAGGGCTAGACATGGACCATATCCTACAAGACTTTGCTGGCCCAAAAGTTCACTTCCCAGTCTGGTGTTTGGGATTACCGCTGATGCTTGGAAGGCTAAAGATGGTGCATCTGCAATATATCCAGGACCGGGCCAAAGCTAAAGTTGCAGGATGGCAAGGAAGACTGCTCACGGCGGCTAGCCGAAGGGAACTTGTGCGCTCTGTACTTAGCTCCATGCCAATCTATCCGCTCACGGCTATCAAAGCCCCAAAAAAGTTCCTAAAGGAACGTGACAAAATAAGAAGGCGGTTCCTTTGGGCTGGTGACATGGACCTCACAGGTGGTAAATGCAAGGTGACCTGGACAAAAGTTAGCATGCCAATCTCCATCAGGGGCCTAGGTGTGGTGGATCTAGAAAGATTCAGTAGGGCAATGAGACTCAGATGGCTCTGGTTCTCCTGGGATGACAAAGACAGGCCTTGGAAAGGCATGGAATTGCCAGTTGACAAACTAGACATGGATCTCTTCAATACTGCCACCAAGGTGATGCTTGGGAACGGGAAAAAAGCGTCGTTCTGGAGTTCAAGCTGGCTGGGGGGCCATGCACCAGCCGCCTTATACCCAGCTCTCTACAAGCACAGCAAGAGGAAAAATAGAACGGTCAGTGATGCACTTACTGACAACAAGTGGATAAGAGATGTCGACTACGATATGACAGAGAGGGTCATTGGTGAGTTCATGGGGCTATGGGAGCAGCTGCAAGGAGTTGCGCTTACCGAAGATCAACAAGACTCTATCTCCTGACTATACACCCATGATGGTCAGTACACAGCTCAATCAGCTTACCGGATACAGTTCATTGGTTGCACTGCATCGGCCGCAGCTGAAATGATATGGAAATCTAAAGCCCCTCCGAAGTGCAAATTCTTTATCTGGTTGATGCTACAAAATAGGGTATGGACTGCTGCATGCCTACAGAATAGGGGCTAGCCAAACGACTACTTCTGCCAACTTTGTATGCGAAATCTGGAGACTATCTATCTCCCACCTGATGCAGGAATGCAGCTTCACTAGACATGTGTGGGAGAAGGTTGGCTCATGGGTGTCGGCACCAACACTTAAACCGAACAACTGGACACTCACAGAAGATTTCGGGCAATGGTTCATTAGCCTGGCAGACAGTGACCAAGGCTCACGGAAAAAGGGGGTAAGATCCGTCGCCATACTGACGATACGGGGGATCTGGAAAGAAAGGAACAGCAGAGTCTTCAACAGAACCAGTAGATCGGTGGAACAGGTTCTCAATGCCATCAAAGAGGAAGCCAGACTATGGATCAGAGCCGGTAATGAAGTGCTGGAGGAACTGACACTGGGAGGTCCTCACCAAACTGATCATGCAGTGCACCAGCAGCTTGCTGATGTTCAGTAGGTTATCCCTGATAATTAGTTGTCGCCTTTCTTCCATGTAAATCAATCAGCTGTTATCTAGGGATGGTGTGGTGCTGCTAGCTAGTGGACACCGCACAAAATGGTGTTTCTTGCGCCAATTCTTGTAAATACTTTGCTTCGATCTTATCAATGAAAGCCGGTAACAGTTCTTTCGAAAAAAACTTAAAATACTTGGACTCTCAAATATTTTTAGAATGACTTACAATTTAAGATGGAGGGGATAGAAGATTGTAACAGTTAGACTGTGTTTGGCAATTGGCATAAATTTCGTTTCAATATATATAAATGTTGTTCGAAACCATCACAAGTTTCCGGTGAATCACGTGGTGTATTTGAACAACAACACGTCTAAAGTAGGTACATCCCGAATAAAGTTAAAGGCGAAAGCGCCTCTAGCCTGGTGGTTACAGCACCTGAGTATCATCTAGCAGACTTGGGGACTCTCCATAAGAGTGAATTTAAACAGGTCTGCATTATTAAAAAATTAAAAAAATAGGCTAGGGTTTCCCTTGCTGACTCGGTCAAAAAAGAATAAAGTTAAGGGTTTGTTTGGGTCTTTGGAATTGAAATAAGTGAATTTATTATAGTTTAGGCACATATTTGAGCTATATATATACTTGGAATGAAAAGAAAGAAGTTGGAGAGTGCAAACATAGCATGTTGGTCTATAGAATACATTTCTCATCTCCTACCCTATGAATTTATTAATATAGGCTTCAAAGTAAAGTTTGAAAAATAATGGAATGTTAAATTCCAAGCCAAATAGCTTAGTTTGTTATAGAGATTTTAATTCCTCCAAAATGAAGAGATCTAAACGGACCCTAAAAGAAATTAGAAAACATGGTGTTTCAAATAGTTTTATAGTCCCCAATCGTTCAACGTGAAGTTTAAGAATCCAATTCATTTCCATACATGAAGCTCCAGAATCACCTCAGAGCAAACATGTACTCGCAGAACAAGAACTCATGAACTACTCCCTCCGTCGCATGAAGTCGTTATGAAATACGTGCATATCAAACTTTCTTATTTTTATTAGGTCTGTAGAAAATATGTGCAAC